TTTGGTTTCTTCCTCCCTCTAATTTTGAAGTCATCTTTCCTTTGTTTATATTTAATACCCATCGTAGTTTGTGCTTTCTCCAAAATTGAATTTACCTGATTTATTTCCGGTTAGATATTCAAGAAGTCTGGGAAGAAGTTCCTCCTATTATAAACAAGTACTGGTGCCAGAGGTACACATTGTTCTCGAGATTTGATTATGGGATTAAGATGGACCAGGAAGGATGGTTTTCTGTGACCCCAGAGCTGTTAGCCAAGCATCACGCACACCGTTGTGGTAATGGTGCAATAGTTGATTTTTTCACGGGAGTTGGTGGCAATGCCATTCAATTTGCTCAACGGTTAGCATGGACTTGACTTTTAATTTATTTAATTTACATAATGAACTATTCTGCGGTTGATTTTTTCTTTAAGATATGTGCTGCTCTTTTTATTTCTCTCTATCTCTTTTTCTCTCAATGGTTATGTCTATGTTCGCCTTTTGCAGGAGTAAAAATGTGGTCGCAATTGATATTGACCCCAATAAAATTGACTATGCCCGGTATAATGCATCCATATACGGAGTGGATGGCAACATAGATTTCATTAAGGGCGACTCTTTTTCATTGGCCCCTAAATTAAAGGTAAAATGTTCTGAATTTGTGGAAGAAGTGAAGTTATGTATGACAAACTGATTCTTAATCTCTGTTGTTATGTAATACTTCCGTGTCCATAAATTTCAAATGTTGAACTATGTGGGTTGTTGTATTCATAATCAAGCCTATACAGAGTTATAAAAACAACATATTCCCATGATTTTTTTCTTTCGTTCTTTTCATAATGTGTTTAATTGCATGACTTCGTTTCAACATGTGAAAATTAAAATATATATATATATATATATATATGTATATATATAAATGACAATATTATCTAGGTCACTAGTTTCTGTTTCTGATGCTATTTGTTGATTTTTTCTTCTAATTTCATGGCCATGATAATAGTGGCCTAAGTTCACTTTTAAGTTTACACATATAAAGTTGGGTTAAAAAAAAATGCACCCTTGAGGCTTAACTTAGTTACCGAAAAATCAATCTAACTTTAAAGCACAAAAAGTTACCCCTGAGACCTTATTTTGTCTTGCATTACCCCTTTATAGGCGAAAACCTCTCTGAAATCCCCCTTCACATTCATAATGTATACCACGGTTAGTTTCTAATCAGGGATATTTTGTATGGAAAGCTGATTTTTTTTTTTTTGGTGCTATTAGGTAAAACCCAAGGGTAGTCTTTGTAGTTACCTATAGATCGAGATTGAATAAATTTCCTAGATCGGCTTTCTCTCTCCAAATTCAATTGCGTGTGGAGTTAATTCTTTCTCTCTGTTCTTTGTTCCCTTTGCAGGCAAATACTGTCTTTATGTCTCCGCCTTGGGGAGGTCCCAATTATTCAAAAGTGAAGAAATTTGATATAAACACTATGCTTAAGCCACGAGATGGGTATTGCTTCTTCTCTAAATTAATTGTAAGTGTCCATGCTTTGTTGTTATTTCATGCTAATAATACTTGTCTTGTTAAACATTAGGCAGTTTCTCTTTGATGCTGGAAAATCAATTGCTCCCATGATTGTCATGTTTCTCCCAAGAAATGTCGACATAAATCAATTGGCCCAGTTAGCCTTATCCGCTACACCTCCATGGTCTTTAGAGGTATCACTCAAAATTTCACAACAATAAAATCATGTATTTTGCATTTGCCCTGAAGCCCCCCCTCAAAAGAACAAACATTATTGCCGGAAGATTCCGTTATGTTTTGAAATATGAATATCCTTAATTATTTCCTAGAGATTGTAAAAGAAGCATTGGTCTAAACTGTATGGTGTTCTCAAATTGAAATAAAAACTATTATCTTCTGATAACTAGATTAAATTTCAAGTTTCAGCATTCATAGTATTTTGTAAATGTCCTGTTTCTCTGTTCGTTTTTAAATTGTAAGTTGCGAGTAGGTTCAGTGTTGATCATATAAACAGAGTATTACTCATAATAGCTTCCAGTTAGTCTAACGTAAGGAAACTCTTGTGCTCTCTCCCATGACTTTTTTCATACATGTTCTGAGTGGTAAATCATTAATTCTCAGGTAGAAATGAACTACCTAAATGGCAGATTGAAAGCTGTTACAGCCTATTTTAAGGAAGCCGCCGTTTAAATAGCGTTAATTCGGTAAGTGTTTTGTTGGTTGTCTAATGATAAGCAACACAATGTGTGTGTAATTTGGACTACTATCAAGAAATTACTTGTGCAAATACTGTCAGAAAGGCTTTTAGGTGCATGAAGAAAACGAAGGATTTATTTTGGATTTGGATATTTTTGGCTGTGGATATGTAAGATTGAAAATTTTAGTTTTGCTCGCAAGGAAAATCAGGGTTTGGTAACGTCAAGTGATTCCAATTACCAGTACACCACAGTAGAGGTTTGTGAACGACTGCAAGATCAAGTTGTGTTGGTATGGACTGTCTCAGACTTATTTTGAACTTTTATCCATCATGTCATTCGACCTGTATATAAATGAGTTTTTGTGGCTTGATAGTTTTGTACGACTTATTTATTGAATTGAATGGTCAATGATAACAAAGATCATAAGTATGAGTGATAAATTTTTATTGGTAGAAGAACTTTGAGAAAATTACTCCCCTTACTTTTGCTTATGAACATAATATCATAATTACGAATACCAAAAAGTTTCATCAAAAATACGTTGAGGCAGTTATTGGGGCCTAATTAATAGCTAATTGGATTGAATTATTAATTAGAAAAGAAACTCTCTCTCTCCATATCCGATAGAAATTCATCTCTCATCTTTCTCACCAAAAATATTTCATCTCTCTCATCTCTCATACATAGAAAGCTTTCGCCTCTCATCTCTCTCATCTCTCCATCTCTCTCGTCTCTCATACTCAAAAAGTTTTGCATCTCGGCGACAGAAATTTTAAAATTCGAAATTAGAGACGAAGCAAACAATG